AAACAAATCAATAAAGAAACAATTTAAAGATTCACACCCAGCTTGAATATTTTTCACTTTCAGTTCCTCTTCATTCAGTATTTTTACATGTAGAAAGCTTCTCATCTTATTGTCTAAATTGTCGTAATTTCTATGCATGTGCAATCAGCTTAAAATCCACAAAAAAAGAAGTCTTTTATTTCATCACATGTGAGAAGTAGAAACGGATTTCCGTAAGCAGATCAATCTGAATGAGCAATGTTTACAATTAAAATCAGCTGCATCAATGAATCTTATGAAAGTCATAGTGTCTGTGAGTCAATAAAGCAAGTAGCTCAAGTGTATGAGTCAGATTATTTTTCACACATGACTTTACTCACGACTGACTTGAGTGAAGCACCTTAACATCTTTCAACACAAATGTGATAATTCTATGTGCGGTCATTCTAAGAATATTCAATTTTATTTTATTTTTTTTATCTATTAAGTTTAAAGCCTATAAAATATGTGTGATGTTACATCATCACATTCTTTCCTCTCTCGCTTTTTCTGTCCCATTCCTTAGTCACTTAACGAAATGTAAAATTATGTATGAAAGCGAAAATTTTTTTACTTCTTCTTCTTTTCATCTTCGCTTTTTGTGTCCACGACACAGTCAAAATATATATTTTTTTGTTAAGCTCAAGTTAAGGTAAGGTAAGTAAATAGCCATTTTATAGTTCCGTCAACAGTGATTTTTTTTTTTTTTTTTGTAAAGTACACCGCAAATAAAATGACAATGTATATCTGTTGTGCTCGTCGCTGGATGGTATGTACAAAAGTAACAAGATGATGTTGTAAATGCTACAAATTAAGTGACATCAGATTTTACTTAAATAAGAAGAAAAAGATGGAAAGACGGCACGGGAAAGTCCGAATGAATTAAGAGATTTTTTTGGAGAATTTACGATCGCATTTATTCTGTAAGATTCATGTGCAAAATAGTGCTGTGAAAAGGGGCAAGCATTTTGCACAGAATGACAGGTTTATTGTGGGTTACGGCTTAAATAAATGTCTTACTGGTAGCTGTATTAAGGTCAATTAAATCCAGACATTTTAATATAGTTGAGATGAAGTGACTTGGTGGCGTAATGGCTTAGCACTTTTGAAGATACTGGCAAGGAGTTCTTGAATCCGAGACTTGGGACAGGATTTACTCACATGCTGCTTTTTTGAATTCTATAGAATAGGTATAAAGTTTACAGACACTCTTGGTAGTCTGAAAACAGAAGGATCATCAATGAATTGATATAAATTTTGCAATAGACTGCAAAGCTCTGGGTTTGAATGCGGTGATCTAGCAAATATCACATTAATTGAAACAGCTGCCAAACGACGCTGTTTCATGGAGGTTTTGACCAAACCTATCTAATGCCGCCAAATCATAATCAAGCTTTCATCTAGAAAACGAAGAGAGTAGCACTAACAAAAAAGTCATTCGTCATGTTTATGTAATTTGCACTGTTTCTTGCTGTGACAAGCTAAAGCTATAGTTACTTTATAAGATTATTTCATGTGAAATTCATCACATTGTAGAAGGACTTTCCCTTCATTGAATTTGAATTAGCTCATTCAAGCTTTCGTAGTTTTTTTTTGTCAGGTGTGAACCTAAAATATTTAAAGAAGCATTCCAGGAACTGCTGACAAGTTGTAATAAAGATTTTTCTTATGAATTTAAGGCACAGTGTGACGCACGATTGAAATTTTTTGCATTGACTCATTCACGTGCGCATTTTTGCAAATCATCGGTCAATTTTGAATTGAAATTCATTAATAATCATGCCTAATGAGTTTATTGATTGATCGGAAGGAAAGTTGAACAATTTATTAATTTTTTTAATCGCAATAATTTGCACAATTTATCTATTTTTTTATTGCTGAAGAATTTCGTAATTGCATAAGAGTTGATTTATATGCTCTATGTGTCTAGTGGTAGAGAAAAATGAGGTGAATATAGTCACGAATTAGTTATTTTAATTCAGCAGGTAGATACAACATTAAACAGGTATAAAACATTGTGTGTAATACAAAAGCGTAGTCAGGTGGTCCTAAAGGGGTCCATAAAAAATTGATCATCATGGAAAAATGTCTAGCTCCACCTCAGACATAATGTAAATTCGATTCCCATTGTACGATGCATATTGCATGGGAAAAAAGGCAACTTGTCAGTCAGGTCATCGGAATTTTTTTTATTTTCAAGTAATTCTCTTATTTTTAAAGAATCGAATGCTATAATAATTATTATCATCATCATAATGGTAAGACTATAACTTACATGTCTATACATACATATTTTGATTCAATGAAGGGCTTTCACTTTTCATTTTTATAATTTTTATTTCACTTCTCTTCTACATACTCAAGAGACCATTACGAAATATCTGTTGTTTTTTGCTTCATTGCCTTACGGCAGATGAATAAAGCATCATAGAAGAATTGCGTTGCTCGATAATCAATAAAGGAGTTTTTCTTTAAAAAAAATTGTTCATGACCCACGTTCACTTTTTATTTCCAATGCAGACTCTCTTTAAGTAAACATAGAGCATAGAGCAGAGAGAGAATCAATGCAATAGCGAAGGTAATTGGGTCATGTCATGAATGCTTCTTTTCTGTTTGGGTTGTAGTCGACATTCCTAACTGTTTGTTGAATATAATTAAATTTCCTAAGGTATTCGATGATTTATATTGATATTCATCAATTTAACTGGAAGCTTATTGAAAAGGCGAATGGCTTGTGATGAAATAGCAGTTAAGCTTTTATGAATGGATGGATTATGAGCTGTTCGAGGATGTGACTGGATGGGAATTACAAGAAAATATGACTAGTAGGATTTTGTAATCTTTGTTTTGGACTTTTTTGAGATGTGAAGGTTTATGGAACAATTGATGAGAAGATTATGCAGGTTTAAAAATTTTGAGAATTCTTTTATGAGCGACCATAGCTTTAAACTCACATAAAACCCAGATAAAAGTCAAAATTCAGAAATTTTGCAGGAATAGTGTTAATATGGAGTAGAATCTAGATCAACAACTAGCATATCTAAAGAATTTGCTCCCATTTTACTCTCATGAAAGGAATTTCCTCTAGATTCTACAACTTTCTCATGACAGTTTCCAAGAAACCACTCAGAAAAGCTTTCAATACCATTGCAACAATTTCTATTAATGCAACCGTGCATCACTTTAATCGATTTCTAGTGAAAAATGACAATGCATTCCTCTCGACTTAATATCGTTATTATATTTTTTTTCTCACTTTCAAACTAAATCAATTCATAAAGAAGCCGGGGTAAATAAAGAGAAAAAGAAGCTATTCAAATAAAAGCAATAAAAGGTAATAAGTTAAATTGAATCATAAAGGAAGAGAAGATTTTTCGAATAATGAAAATTAAATGAGAAAATTGTTAGATCATCATCATCACATGGAAGTTTATGCAATGGTAATAAGTTATTAATGAATAATAATCCGTGATGCATCAATTTTGCATGCAATACATACATAGCTGAATACTTTTATATGCCAATGCTATTTGAAATGATACATTCTTTTAAAATCTGCAATTTCCGCTACCATTGAAGTTATTTTATATGTTTAACATTTATTTGGAAGTTGATGTATGATTACATCTTATTTAATAATTTTTGAGAACTTCCTGAAGACATTTAAATGTGCCAGTAGTAAAATCAATCAATATTCATTTATATTCAAATAAATCCATCGGTTTAGGTTGAACATAAAGGAGATAAAGATCAGTTTTATGAAAAATTACAGTCTTTCAAACAATGTTGCCCTCGATTTTACAACAAGCCAATTGAAGTTTTTTTTGTCACAGTTTGTATTTCCAAAAAGATTTTAATCTTCCTTTATCGAATTAATGAACCAAAGTCAGATAAATGAGAACGTATTTAATTTTCAAATGGCTGGAATGTTTGGGGATTGTCGGGTTATGATGTCTACTTATGCAAACCTAAGAAATCACCAGTCCATAAAATCTGAATCAGTGAATTTTTGGAACCTTCAGCTCAGTTGAATTGGCAAATTTAATTATGGTTCGCATTAAGGTATGCAATAATCCTAGTTTAAAATTTGATGGCTTAGATGCTACCTGGTAGTTCCCCACGAATATAACCGAGATTGCATCAAGCAATTATCAGACAAGCAGTGTCCATAGCTTCCGAACGATCTCTTCTGGCATAATTTTTCAATTTATTCCACACATTTTTACGATTTTTCATCTTTTTTTCATCATAAAAAATGGAAAATCTCAATCAAATTAACAACAAAGCTTTCATAAGCATGAAGAATTTGATTTTATATTGAATAGTCCACGTTTTATTTGTTCATCTTCATTTGCAAGGCATGCCGCATCAACAGCAGCATAAATTGCCATATCATGTTCAACATCAATACGTTACATGCACATAAAGCATAAATATTTGAATGGGAGAACATAAAGGCAAAAATTATAGGCGTCATGCAATCGAGCATTAAAAGAAGCAATAGTGAAAAATGGCCTTTGATTGAGAGTCCATCGGTAGGCATTAAATTAAAAATATCCAATAATGAAAAGAAGTGTGCATTTAAATTGCAAGTTATTTGTTATGCGACTATGCTTTTAGCGCGCATGATTATGCAATAGACATCTTGTATATGGTTTACTATGTATTGCACCAAGCATGTGCATTTACATTGGGTGGCAAGTGCATGTATAAATTGTACTTTTACGCGACATTCCACCGTAAAAAAATGTGTGTGATCTCTTTGGTCATAAAACTGCCTTGGCATAGAAATGCACTTTTTTACCGTAACTGCATATTAGCACAGCAGTTAAACTATGCTGCTTATTCAAACGCAGATGTATCCAATTAAAGTTAAATTATGTAGCTTTGTTTCTCACTCTCGATTTTTCAAAACTGTCTATATGATTAAATTTGCACTTGAAATCGTTCATGTCAATCTAAATACACAATTTTGTACTCACTTTTTTATGATTCCATAGAACATTTACACTTGGCTTTCCTCTTCTAGAGAATGATTGATCGATGACATCGTCGTGAATTAAACTTGCTGAGTGAATCATTTCTGCTATCATGGCAATTTTTCTTTGAGCATCAACAGTGCGCGGACTGTAAGAAAATAAGCAATAAAAGGGATGATTTGTCATTATCAAGTTAATTTAAATAAATCTGTCAAGATGTTAAAATAAATTACTACTAAGTAAGTAATAAGGATGTTATTAAGTGTCTGGAATGCTGTTGGCGTTGCATATTATTTTTGTGGAGTTTATTATTTTCAGGATCTCGGACTATTAAAGATACTTATCCTCAAATAGATACTATGATATTCCTGACTCCTAGCTCCGTCTCTATAAATCGTTAACAAACCCATAGTAAGAATGTCGTAGGATTATTCACAAAGTCAAATAGTCGACTCACTTCCTTATTCAGGAGGGTAAATTAATTTACATTATTCTCACCAAATAAATTGATTGGATATTTTTTTTAAAATTCAAGGATTTTTCGAGACATTAAGAATGAGTCGGTGCACACAAAAGCTTAAGTTGCATTGAGTGGCAAACAAGCTCGAAAATATAAATACCGAGAAGTCTGCAGAGGTCAATTAAGCAGATTTATAGCAATTAATATGTACGATCTAAAATTAGATTAAATTATTTCCTAGAGAAAAAAAAATCACCGAATTGTAAATAACACTTTCGAATATTTCATGGCAAGAACCTTCTACAAATGGCAAAATTTCATAAAAAAACTTGCCATGAAGGAAATACTGTCCACATTTTTTTTTTTGGACTATAAATAAATCGTGAATAGCGATTTTATTTTTCAAGGCGAGTTCAGTGAATCCCCAAAAAAGTCGAAAGGCCAGAATACAGCATTAGCATTGCAATTTTCGTTTGACGACAAAAAAAAAAAGCTTTGACATTCTCCATCGAAATCCGGTTCAAAAATTTCAATTTCATTTTGTTTTCATTTTCATTTCTGCATGCCCAAAACCACGTTATTGATAAAATCATATGAAGAGCCAGTCTCTTATAAATTTGGTGTCTCTTTTCTTTCCTCAAAAAAGAAGAAGAACAAGAGTCGCTTTTATGCAAATCACAAACAGAGAACGTTTTTTATCCGCAGTGATTGAAACAAGATGAAGAAAAAAATATAAAAAATTTTATGACCAGGTTGGAGATTTTAAGCGAAAAATAAGAAACGTGTATTCCATTTGTATTTCACGTGCTCAGAAATTCATGAAATAAAATATATTGTTAGAAGAAAGGTGATTCAACCTATGTTGGATATCTGCGCGAGTCGTTCTTTTGGGAAATTTCCCGTAAGGAGTCGTGCATTTATGACGCCTACCAAGAATTAGAGAGCGACTGTACTTTACAGAACATGTTGATAAAAGGAATAAAGCTGTATTAATGCGATGTGAGCCATATTAGTAACAGTCATCCTGTTAATATCTATTTTCGAATTAGACAAACTCAAGAAACTGACCCCTTAATGACGCTACACATAAATATAGTCATTAACATTCAATCATGGAATTTCCATAAGACTTTGGGGATCTTTATTGTTGAATATAAATATTCTGTATTTTGATCATGTGAATGATCAAGAAGAAACAGGTAGAAGGAGCAACATAGGTTCAATAATCTAATATCATAAAAACTTATATGTGTTTCGCATTTTAGCAATAATCTGCATATAAATTAACCTGCGTTTATTCTAGAACCTCTACGGCAGCAGCTTTGAAATAAAGTACGCAATAATTTAATTTAAACATTTATGTCTAGCATTTATGTATATAATTAATTTAATTGAAATTTTTGAACAAGCATTCGCGCAACTTCTGCTCTCTAAAATTGATGCAACTCATGATCAAATAAATAAAAAGCATTTTATGTCATTGCATGTCTATAGTAATTCTTCTTTAAGTTTTTTGTCTATGTGCATTAAAAGAAAATTATGTAATTGAGGCATAATTAATTCAACAGACACCGTGACAGCAAAAAAAAAATCTGTGGCATAGAAAAAAAGCTAAGTACACGAGATTGAATTTGATCATTAATTCAAACTGTAATTTTTATTTTTTGCACTAATCTTTTCTTATGGGAGGAACTTGGGGATGGAAGGTTATGTGATTAATTCACAGATAAAACTTTAATCTTGGCTGAGGAAATTTTGTTTGTCTGGTTTAAAAATGTCCATCGATTTGCGATTGCAATGTTGCCAATTTTTGGTTCTTGTGTTTTTAAAGCTTAATTAAATCTTTTGTGTTTGGCGGGATTTGCTTGACCAAAAAGTGTTAATTTTGTATAACTGTAAGTGTTCTTAAGCTAGCAGCACGGACGTCAGAACTTAAAAAACTGCAAGCATATGAATATGACTTAAATTGTCGTTTTGCAAGTTGTGTTTTGGACTTTTGTTGGCTCTTGAAAGCTTAGTTATAAGAATTTTAATTCTCGGCTCCAAAGACCGAACAGCATTAGTTGAAATTCGAAACCCCCAAGGCTAAAGATAAGCCAACTTCCTTCGTTGCCCATCCCAAACACTTGTTTGCTCCAAAAAATATAGATTCTCACCTGTTTTCTCTGTGTATGTGATAATTTATTGCTTTTCCCATCAATAGTGTCACCATAGGACGGAGTGCTTTGCCATTTCCACCAAAGTAATATTCGGCAATTTGTATAAGTTCCTTTTGATTTGTGCCTTCATGTAATTCCTAGTCATAAAAGAAATATAAATTAGCGAACAAGTATATTATTAGGTTTAATTCAATTTATGGCTTTTGAAATGAAAAAAAAAATATAAATAATTTTATGTCTTTTAAAATTGACATTTGCACGCTTTTATTGTCACTTATTTCACATCAATATTCATGATATAATGTAAATTTGTCAGAGATACAAAGTAAAAGTAATTGCAAGTCAATGTTAACAGCAACAAGAGCAGGTTCAAGACAAAAGAAGTAAACGAAGAATAAGAAGAAAACTTGAAATCTTTTATGGGGATATCAAGTAAAAGAGTTGTTACCATATTCACTGAGCAGTCACGTTTCTTAAACATTTTGATGATCGTCATCATATTTGACGACAAAAAAGAAGAAGTTTTAATGATTTTAAGAAGCTCAATTCTTGTGGATAATTATTTAGAAATAAACAATGAGAATTTTTAATTACGTTTATCCTCTAAATTGTCAATAAAGGCTTAACGTGTTCCTGCTGAAAGCTTTTATGGATAAACAATTGAGGGTAAATTTTGGATAAATGAAAAGAAATCGATGCAATTATTTATCTTTGTTTGTACTTATTGATTTTTAAGGTGATGGCTGGATTATTTCTGCTTTGAGGATTGCATTGGCACAGTCAGAAAAAATACTTTAAAGGCTTAAAAGTCTGTCAACGTAAAACTATCTAGCTAAGAGATATTTCTCATAAAAGCTTCCATTATTGACCTTTTTCGAAGCTATAATACTAAGTTGAGAAGTCTCCATTATGACTGAATTCCTGTCGAAGAACAGCAAATCTAAAAGCTTCTTAATCCAGAATTTTTTTATAACCAACTTAAAGTAAAGCCATTAAATTAAGCAATAAATCTTCCAAAACTAGAATTTAAATTTTATTATGAAACAAAATCATTTATGGACGAAGCAGCTCAGATAATAAAATACTGACAAATCTTTATGCACAAAGTGAAAAGCAAATAAATCTTCTAAACTTATTGAGGAAGAAGAATTTGCCACGGTCAATTTAAAGTTGCATTAATTTTTGCAAACATTTTAGAAAATTCCCCGTAATTTGCATATTTTATTGGATACAGTCATTAAAAAATTCCGGTGGATAAGGCTCATAATTTTGGGATTTTTAAAACTGATACTTGTGACAGAAAAGTTCTTAAATTTGCATGAGAAAACAATTTTTTTTTATAAAATAAAGAATCCAAGCCAGATTTTATGAATCGGGGATTCACAAATTTCCAGCACATGACGAGAAAAACCGGCAAAATCCAGATTTAGAACAGTCACGAGATAAAATTGGACTTTGATTTAGTGGGAACTTTTTAGCGCATTTTTGAAAACTTGTTTGACGAATTCAACAAGAATCAAAAAAACAATTTCAATTTATTAAACTCTCATCGATTCAGTGATGATCATTAAAAACCATACAATATGCCATGATATCAAAACTCTAGAAACTTCGATTTACTAACTGTCCTATTCACGCATTTAAGTCTCTTGATTTTTTTCCCATACAATCTCAATGTTCGTTAAGGTCAATGAACAAAACAAGTTGCGATTATTGAAAATTTACATTTAAAATAGCAAAAAATAAATAAATTATCTTGTTGTTATTGATTGCAGGTTTATGAATTATTATTGTCTAATAAGGCGGACAAGAAACAAAGGAATTGAATTCCTGCAGAACATCTTTGTCGACTAGAATTTACTTTTCATCTTCAAAAGCCGGATATATTGAAAGAGAATGTTTAAAAATTAAGAAATCTCACCTGTCGAATGTCCTCGAAAATATATTTGAGCTCATCTTCTAATAACATGTATGGATCAATTTTATATTCCCTGATTGGACCGGCTGGTTGTTGTGTGTGAACGGAACTGTAATCTCTACTGTGATGTGATATAGAGGACCTAGTAGATGAGGCCTGTAAAGATAAAAATATATAAAAATTAAAATTATTGATGATATTTTAGGACAAAAAAAGATTCAATTGCCATAAAGCGATAAATTCTTGATTTCACGTGTAGCTAAAGTCTTTAAAAATATTTCTTAAATTTCTTATTCAAATATTTAACACGAGACAATGGTTTTGACGTTCTGAGGCTTAAATGATGAATCATTTGTCTATGTGTGTATGATTCAGCTACCAGACTTGGCGGCACTACTTCAACAGAGGGATATTCATTCATCTTCAATTACTTTAGTAATGCTTTTGTTAGTAATCTAGTCATAACTTGCCACTAATGCCATTATACCATTAAGTACAGAAGCGATACAATGAAAATTATGTTGTTTGGATCTTTAATGATACCATTTACATGTTAGCTACGCAAAAAGGACCTTGAAAAAGGTCATCAACCAATTATACAATTTTAGCTAACACCATTGTAAGAATTTTTCTTGCTATTGAAACAATTGAAAGTGTCAATTGCATTTTTTTTAAAACAACTACTTCCTATTCAATAGTAAATCATCATTATGACCTTTGATTCGAACAAAGTGTTAGAAATTCATTAGTTTTAATTATTTTAATGACCTCAAATCATTCTTTTGCTTCAAAAACTCATTAATAGATCTGCAATTGGTCTTGAAGTTATTAATCGATTTCGAATCGTTACCTGCCATTTAAAATATATTTTTTTTTGCTATAAGCTAATATTATTTAATTGTAACGATTGCACGAATTCATACTAAATTAACGAGAAATAAAATCTTGCAAATTATTGTGCATGATTTCAAAATGATTTTTAAATGTCTCATATGTAAGACAAAGCACGATCATGTTGGTAAATGAGAAAATAAGACATTTTCAAAGTGATCTTTAAGAAGGTAGAGAAAATAAGTAAGTATCATTAAAATTTTTGTGAGCATGCATTAGATGAGAAGAAGTAAAGGTCGCTGGATGAATGAGTACAATTTGGTAAAGGATTTAAACTGTCAAATATTCGAGTAGTCTTGAAAGTGCAAATAAATTTTGGGGTATGTGAAAAATTCACGAATCATTGACAATTTAAAAGATGATTGCTTTGAGGTTGCAAAATTTATAAAGAATGTCGTAGAGCTTTCTGGTAATTAGCGTTCTAGTCCAGAGTTGGCTAATCTAGTCAATTGCAACTGCTTTCATGCTGCAACACCATTGACAAAGTTTTAATTACACAAATTGTATGGTTAAGATTTCTTGTTGACGAAGCTAAAATGCAAGCAAGCTCTAATTTTCTAAAAATAAATTCTTGTTTCGTAAACCAAAATTTGTTGATCGACAAGATATCCGAAAAAATAAACAAAAATGCGACCATGCAGCAAACAAAAATAACAATTTAATTAGAATCGTTCAATCTTGATTAAATTAACATTCAACATAGTTTATCACCTTGCATGGCTGAGAATATGTCATGACAGTTGACGAAGCATGCTCGCAATAAAAGAAAACATGAACAAGCTGACAAAATTTCAACCAGATAATAAATCTTTCGATTAAAACAAAAATCAAATTAGGAATTTTATCTACATCGTCAAATATTGGGACAACAATACTCAAACTTAAGCTTTCGGTTCCTCGAACAGCAAAAAATATTAATAAATAATAAACTCGAAACTAAATGGCTTTGAATAACCGAGCAGGTTTTAATTTAATGATTTTTTTTCTTTCCATTTTTGCTTCCACTCTTGATGGATATGGGCAAGTATGTATAAATCTATTTTGACTTTTTCATCCACAAACATTACAGTTAATAGTTACTTTTGAATGAATTATACGTAATAAATCCATAAAGGTTGATTTGAGTTCACTCTAGCAGCAGAGGTGTACTTAGGAATTTTTTTAAGAGAAGGGGGTCCTGACAATTTAATAGGTGGGGCTCTGGTTGTTTATGAGAAGGGGTCAGAATTTTTTGATACCCCCTAGCTACTCTCATGCTCAACAATATCATTAACTGTAGCTCATTATTAAAAAACATTATTATTAGGCAGCATCAGCATTTAAAGATGATTTAATAAGAATATATAAAAATTTGTGAAAATTATTCATGTATAGCATAAGAAGAAGCTGTGTAGCTCTTTTTTGGCTTAATGAGATTTTCTCCTCACCGTAAAATTCGCAACAACAATTCAACGAAGCACCGACGAGACTTCATGACGGCAAAAAAAAAAGACCAGTCGATACGTGAAAGTTACAGAAGTTATCGTTTGAAAAAAAAATTACTCTCTTTCTCTTTCTGCGTCTACATTTGATCATAATTGAATGATAGTGCCCTTGAAAAAATATATTTAATATAAATTTCTTTTCGCTCAAAAGAGCAGGAATAGATGTGTAACGATAATGATAATAATGATGATGTTAATGATGACTATGCAAGTTATTTCATCTATTACCGATTTGATGCTCAAAACCGCTATAAATTCACTTTACTACCTCTTAACATTACAAATTTTTTTTCCGGCAATTTTCTCGTTGAGTACAAAGACCTTTATTGCTCAATTATTCGATCGCTCGCGCCGCATTCACTCAATGTTTATGGTTAGATGATGAATGGATTGAGAGAAGCGAAAAAATAAATTAGAATGCACAGAAAATATTGACATTGAAGATAAGTACAATGTTCAAAAACCAGCAAATTTTTTGATTTTAGCTTTTCCTTAATCTACAGTCTATGTGCGATTATGTGATGGTGCAATAATCTTTTTCAGTGTCATAAACATCGTGCAATTGTTGCTTTTACAAATGAAGACTAAGTAAGAAGAAAATGTGCAAATTTGCAGCCATATTAACGAACTTCATGGACGTTACTTTATTTGTTTTTTCAAGAAATGTTTTAAAGGATTTTAATAATATTCGGACAATTTTTATTTATTTTTTGTAACACATGGAGAAGGACGATTCTCAATGGTATAATTTTTCTAGCATTTCTAGGAAAACTATTCTTAAAAGTTCAATTTAAGTTAATTTAGTAGTTTGTTCAGGTAAGTTTCAGTGTCAGGAATTGTTTCATGATGTTTATTATTTAAGACTCGTGAATAAACTGGTTGGATGTAAATAACGACCAACCGAAGTCAGGGAAGGATCACTCTGATTAATTAACATGTTTTCAAGGAATTTCACCTTCCAGATTAGCTTCCATCCAATCTTAACTAGTTTCTCCTAAACAACACACATAAATCAGCAATAACTTGATTTTAAAATTCCACGTGAACTTCCAGTCCAACTTTTTTCGCACATTTATTGACAAGTGAAAGGTCTCGACCAAATCATTCATTATTGAACTCATTTACTTTTTATATACTCGACTATATCATAGAAAAATCATTACTTTAAACACATTCACAAAAAAAAAATCTATCCACTGATGATTAATGAACAGCCGGTTCAGCATTATCATCATGAATTCTTTCCAGTCGCTAATTTTTTTTTTCTCTTTCATTTATAAATTGTCACATTTTCATTTTCACTTGTCTTTATATACAATTCTTATATTTTTCATCGCGTACTTAATACCATTGAATAAGGTGGAGCTCGCACACAACCAACATTAAGAGATCATCAGAAACTAAAAAGATTGTTTATGACCTACATTAAAAAAAAAAAAAGAAATATGAAAATTTTTCTTCTCTTTCATCATCAAGCGATAATTATATTCCCAGTTCTTCTCGATTTTAAAATAAAATAACCGTTAACGAAAATTTCGTGTTTGTTATGGTTTCAATTACTTCTGTTTAGTAAGCATCTGAATGAATTAAGAGCAAGAAGAAACTACCGAATTTGTCTACCATAAAAAAGAGAATCGCAAAAATAATGGACATAAAATTTACACAAAGAAATTAATCAAATCATAATATTTAATCCGTCCGAGTCACCCAAAAAGAAGAAATCTTTCACTTAATTTCATTTTCATTTCTCATTTTTTTGAGAGTAGCGCAAAAAAAAGTTTAATGTTATATAGGGTAAGTGAGCAAGTAATTACAACGAAGTCTGTTGTTGTCTGCGTAAACCGCTATATTAACGTCTATCAAGCAGTAAAACAGCCTGAGACAGCATCGAGCAATTACATAGATTTGTAATATTAATCCACATATGGCAAGAAACTCGTCAGATGTAGATCGTATGAAGAAATAGACATAGATTGGTGAATGTTTGCATAGGGCATTTTAGTAAGGGGGTTGATGACTAGTGTGGTCTGACATTAAATGGGTAGGGGTCTGGATAATAAAGAGGGTTTAGCTTTCTGATTAACCAATGATTGAATTCTATAATCGAGGAAGGTCTATGCTGAGCCAAGGAATTTAAGTTCTGAACATAGTAAGAGTGAAGTCTATGTACATCACTTAAGCACGAGCCCTAATAATTCTCAATGATTACAATAATTTAAGTTCTCCTCATTTCATGCTCGTTTCATAAATTTTAATTCATAAATGAGAGATTTTTATACTTTGGTATTCTAACGGATTCCAACGATATTTAATTTATTGCATGAAGATATTTTTTTATCGAGCTTACTTTTTGCTGTTTTAAAAAAGCGTTTCTTTTGCTGCTGTTTAAGCTATGGCACGTGTTTATTGATTATAAAAATTACTCAAAAGCAGTTTTTACTTCACTTTTTTTTTGTTGTTGCCAAATGAATTATTAAGTATGTTTAACGTGAATGTTGTAAATGGCCGTTGTAACAGCAATGGAAATAGCCTTTAAGGTGTCTACATTATATACCATAATAAAACCTAATCGCCCCCGAACTACGTATTCCACAATGTGTTGTTATAAAAGGAAAGAAATGCTTGCCATTGGCACTTTTGCACCTTATATATAAATGCTCAATAAATAGAAAAAAAGAATTGATATTCGTGTACCCATCCAGAAAAACTTGATTAGGAGCACGTTATTGCGATTGTATGATAAAAATTGGGGCAGTGTGTTACATAAAGTAACAAGACTTG